GAAAAGAAACTAAGACAGATGGTCATCTATTTTTCTAGATTTGGAAGTTTTCTGCTATAATTCTATCAAAATATTTTTATGCCCTTAGACTGGAGTTCTGCTACTCCAATGGTTGTAAATTTTTAATGTTGTACATAGAACTCATGCTGTATTTATGTTTTATTATTTTCTTTGTGGATTCAGGAATTCTAATTCATCTTTCTTGTTTCCATTTGACCCATTCTATTGGTAAAGCTTCTTACTGAATTTATTTGACACACTTCTTCAGGTTTTCAGTACTTTTTAGTAAATTTCTCATATCATGTAGTGACTTTCTTATTTCAGTTAGCTGTTTATATTCTCTTTGAATTAATTTAAGAGTTTATTTTTATACTGTTTTGTTTTATTAAACATTCTTTTCATTCCCCATCTTGAATTTCATCTAATTTACTCTCATTTGCAGCCATTTATAATTTTTTTTGGGGTGTGGTACTGTGTGATTTTCATGTTTCTTTTTTCTTTTCCTTTTTTTTTTTTTTTTTTTGGCTTTTCAAGACAAGGTTTCTCTGTGTAGCTTTGCGCCTGTCCTGGAATTTACTCTGTAGCCCAGGCTGGCCTCGAACTCACAGAGATCCACCTGGCTCTGCCTTCATGTTTCTTAATTACCAAATTAAGACTTATGGATCTGTGGTTATTTTATTGATTGGAGTTTTTATCAGCTGTATCCTTTAGTTATTTGTAGTATTTAAATGGGGCTAGATTGTGGTAGATTGGAGGTGCATAGTTCAGAAGTCCTCAGCTCATGTGCTCAGGGCACACTCTTTACTACTTCTGGAGTATAGTATTAACTACAGAAGCAACCATAAATGCTGGGTAGGTGTACAACACAAACATCATACTAGCTAGTTAAATATAACTTCAATAACTACCGGAGGATCAATAAGCCAGGATGGTATGACTAGGATATCAGTTACTAGGATTAAGAGTGGAGGGACTATAGGCGGAATAAGGCTAGGTATCAATCAGTATTAGGAAAGAATATGAGGGAGGAAAAACATCTGGGAAGGGAAGTCGGGCAATTTTCAGAATTTAAGGTTTTGGAAGGTTATAGTGAATAAGTAAAAGTGGAGTGGATATGGGGAGGAGAGAAAGAGAATGAGAGGGAAGCTGCATGGGCTGAATGTAAGGATTCAGAGTAGAAAGTGTCAGACTGGGTGGAGAATAATATAGAACAATCATACAGCCTAAGCACGCACAGAACAAACTAAAGCGAGACCATTCTAAGACATTTTTGCAAGAGTACAGACTAAGAAATGAAAACAAAACAAAACACAAAAAAAACCCCAAAACGCAAAAACAAAATGACAAACGTACAGTAAGAGTATATTGAGGTTTTAAAAAAATCACATCGGACGTATTTTATTTTTGGTAGAATGAGTTTTGAATTCTTTCCCTCACTGTTATTTCATGTACTATATTGTGCTGATGGGAGAGGTTTAACTTCCAATCTCAGTTCACACTATTAAATTAGATTGGGGGATGTACTGCCTAGTTTGGACCAATTACCTTTTGTACTAAATTTTTGGCACAACTGTGCTGAGTTAAGCAGTGAATTTTCTCAGTTCCTTCCCTCACCAGATTTTCATTCAGTCGTACAGTTGTGATAGCGTTCACCAGTGTTTTAAGAAGAAGGCAAACACAACACCTTGCTGCTTATTTCCATTGACCTCAGTGGCAGCCTTGAGAGCCTGTCTCATGCTTGTTTCTGATTTTGTTATTTAGATCTTTGTCTTAAGTTAGGATGTCTATTGCTGTGAAGAGACCATGACCATGGCGACTCTTATAAAGGAAAACATTTCATTGAGGTGGCAGCTTACGGTTTCAGAGGTTTAGTCCATTATCATCATGGCGGGGAGCATGGCTGTATGCAAGCAACATGATGCTTGAGAATTCTACAGCTTGATCCAAAGGCAAGAGGAAATGAACTTTCTCACTGGGTGTGGCCTGAGCGTATATCTGAGCTCTCAAAGCCCACCTCCACAGGGACACACTTCCTCCAACAAGGCCACGCCTTCTAACAGCGCCACTCCCCTTGGGGGCCATTCTCATTCAAACCACCACAGTCTTGAACTGAGATGCTTATGTTACTCATTTGCTTGTTTGCATACAGTTTGAAGTTACTGGTCATTTTACAAGAAGATTTTTGAATTCTTTGTTCAGTATTTTACTTACATATTTAGATTAGATAATTAAGGAGTCATGATCTTATGGGTGCTCCCTTGCCTTTTCATGTTTCATCTACTGTTATGGATATCTCTTGATGGCCACCCACTACCACCCACCAAGGAGAAAACAAATGGCTTTACTAGCTAGAACACTAAACCAAAACAGATGGGAAATATACTTAAAATTGATTGACACTAATATACTGTCAATGACCACAAATCAGAAAAGGGCAAAAGTAATGGATAAGCCATTATATATGTATAAGTTAAAACCTTAGGGTAAATATAAAAATAGTAAATTACTGACATGAGAGGATGCTGGGAAGGGGAGAAAGAAGAGAGGCAAGTTTAAATGGCAGAGAGGAAAAGGAGTACAGATATACACTGTGAAGTGGGGGGGGGAAGAGCGGAGATGAAATCATTCTGATTGCACACTAAAGAAAAAATGCATAAGCAAAATTAAACGTGAGAAGAGTAAAAGGGAAAACATCGAAAGAAAAAGGATAAATACAAGGCCCCAAACATCCCCAAGCAAAGGAAAACAATGAGGACAAACTACTGGAGCAGCTTCTTTCCGGCCCTCTAACCTGGGAAAGGCAGAGTGCAGCTGACGGGAGTCCCGGTCTGTCCTAAGATTAGGCCAGTGGTGAGCCTGCGCTAGCCAAGGGTCAACATGCCCTAAGCTGTCTTCGCCTGAGGATCTCTGCTTTTATTGTACACCAGGAGCCTCTCTGGCCGCAGTTAGCACTGTACATGTAGGCCAGGTAGACTCTTCCATGTTCCAGAAATTCCATAGTCTGAACAACTTGGCACAGCTATTTCCTAAGCCAAATAGTGTTCCCAAGTGTTTCGAAGAGTGGGAGACAAACAGAGCACTGAAGTGTAATCCAGAGGACCAGTCTTAGTGCTTTCAAAACCCATTAAAAATTACTCTCTACGAGAGAGGAGGCTGCAGAAGTTGCGGGCTGGCTTTTGGTATTCTCTAGCTTGTCAGAGGTTAAGTCGTGTGCCTAGCTGTGGCTCCAAGAGTTGGAAAATGGGCTAACCTCAGGCTCAAGGCTGTTAGTCTCCACTACTTATCCTCAGAGATGGCTGTCTTCTAGCCAAGAAAGATTGACCATCATATTCTTTACTGTTGGAATCTTCTGCTGTCTGAACTTGTCAGTGGGTCCAGTCCTTCCTTATTGCCTCCACAGTTCCTTTTCATTCAGAGACAGGGCAGGTCGTTTCCAGGCTCTCTGAACTGCAATTGTTCCTCCCTGGGCTGTTTCTCAGCTGGCCTGCCCTGTTACCTCTTTTGTAATTTCTAATGTTCTAACCTTTCTCTTTCTGGAATAGACTCTTTTATTATCTTGATGAATCCAGGGCCTTGTGCATGCTAAGCAATAGCCTTGACTTTTTTTTTTTTTGGTTGAAGAGGGCAGTAACCCTCCAATGTGCAAGCCTCCTGCCTCAGTGTCCAGAATATTTATTGGATTACATCTGACTTTCCATGCTTTTCAATGATAAAAGTATTACCAAAATAATGTATATTCTTTTAGCTAAATGAGAAAGATACAATGTCAACTCATCTTAATATTGTCTGACAGTCTCAGGAAGGTTCTTTTTAATTAAAAACAGTCTCTCTGTGAAAACACTGTATCTTTCACATTAGCTCCTGCCATTTTCCCATGTCATTCCTCATTAATATTGTTTTCTATCTTATTGGTTCCTTCTATTAATCCTGTAAATATATCTCTTTATTTGAAGAAAACAAACACAATCCTTTATTTACCTCCACTGCCTTATCTATTTTCTTTTAACTATGCAACAAAACTCCTTATGTGAATGCACTATGCAAAACTACCTTTTCCCTCTCAGAAAATTTCGGATTTTGTACACAGAGAAATCCTGAAACAGCTCTATATATTACACAGTCTACTAATTTCAATGTTTATTCTTGTTTTAGTCATTGTTCTAATGCTGTGAAGAGGCACCATGATCTCAACTCTTATAAAGAAAGGCATTTAAGTGTAGCTTGCTTACAGCTTCAGAGGTTTAGTTCACTGTTAATCATGGCAGGAAGCATGACGGCATGCAGGCAGACATGGTGCTGGAGAAGGAGCTGAGAGTTTGACCTCTGGATCCACAGACAGCAGGAAGAGAGAGAGACACTGGACCTGGTTTGGGCTTTTGAAAGCCTAAAGCCCAAACCTAGTGACACTTCCTCCAACAAGGCCACACCTCCAAATCCTTTCAATAGTACCACTATTTTGTGACCGAGCAAATACATGAGCCAATGGGGGCCATTCTCTTTCAAATTACCACAATTCTTTTTTGATTTGACCATTTGTTGTTCTTCTTAGAGTGGCACTTTTCATTTGTTCCTTAACTAGATTCTGAACCACAGACCACAGACATTCTTTCAAATCGGCAATTTTCAAATAAACTCTCTTATAGATCAAAGCAAGAACAATTCCAGAAGCATCTCTTCTTTCAGCTTCTGCTTCTTTAGCTACTATACAATTTGCCCCTCAACATTTTTTGTCATACTATACTGAATGGCCCCTTGGTCCATGAAAAAGTAAGTTTTTAGATTAAGAAGTATTATAGAGTCCCTTTTTACCTTAATAAAGTATACACACACACACACACACACACACACACACATATACACACACACACAGCAAATGTATGGAAAACAAGAGGGCATAAAATTCTTCAACTAAGAAAATGGAGACAAAGTATATTAGCATACAAAACCTAACCCAACAAAATACAATTCATTAATATATATATTATGTGAATGATACTAACCCTTTGGATACTCCAGCTCTGTCATTAACAATCTTCACTTCTTTTACAGACCCATACTGGGAAAAAAATTTTCTTAAATCATTTTCATTTGTCTAATGGAATAAAAAGAAAACATTAAAAAACATTTTAATCAATAAAAGATAAACAACTCCAATGCTTGTTGTGGAGACATAAAAAAAATATAGAAAACAAGTTAGAGTATCTCTCATTATTAAAAAATAGGCAAAACCATTGTTACTAAAATCTATGTACTTTGCTTTACGTAGTAGCTAAGTAGCGATTTTAAAGTGAGTTATTCTAACTTGCAAAGAATGCTAACTCTGTAAAGGGGTCGTTTAGTGACTTTAAGAATGCCAATGCTGGAGTTCACATCCTAAACCCACAGTGCGGCTGCATCACTGTTGCCTCTAGTATTTGGGGAGGGCAGCAATTCCAGCAGTGAACCAAGTCACAATGGCCTAATCCAGTCACTTGATGGTTGGTAATCACCACAGTCTTTAGGAAGAATCGGGCCTTAGGAAAGGAATATATTTCCCCCAAATTTATATTTGAATTTGCCATGAGAAGTTGCAAAGTGAGTATAATATTTCAAATTACAAGGTATTTTATCTGTACTCAACATACATTTTAGCTAACTACAGACATGATGATACAATAAAATAGGTATACTAGACACAATGTTCAAGATGTGTACAAAGATCGTTTGGGAATATCTGGTATAGAGAAGGCAAGAGCTAGTCCCAGAGTACTTAGGGTGAATTCATGGCAATTTGATTTTTGGGTTCGGTTGCAACTGTTTGCTTTGAAGTGTAACTTTAAATTTACCTAAAGGACAATCAAAAAATGTCTTAGAGCACAGTCACTCATTTTGAGTTCAACTGTCACCTCACTTACTTAAATACACAATTTATTATTTTGGATGATAACATTCAGCCTATTAAATTGGACAATGACAAGCACTAAATCTAAGAATATGCGAATTACTTTTATTCTAATAACATCTAATAACAGAACTTCTAAACATGGAATCAATGCTAGAATGGGAACTGCCATCAGATATTTAGAAAAGTTAATGTAGCCGGGCAGTGGTGGCGCATGCCTTTAATCCCAGCACTCGGGAGGCAGAGGCATGTGGATCTCTGTGAGTTCGAGGCCAGCCTGGGCAACCAAGTGAGTTCTGAGAAAGGCGCAAAGCTACACAGAGAAACCTTGTCTTGAAAAACCAAAAAAAAAAAAAAAAAAAAAGAAAAGTTAATGCAGATTGTTCTCTGGAGAGGAGTCACTAGCTCAGTTGTGAACTCACAGGGCAAGGGGAAAGTCAAGATGACTGAACCTGTAGAGGGACAGTCTGGAACAGTCTGACACTGCTAGTATAGCAGATTATTTCCTCACAGGCAATTATTTGTAGTTTTGAAAAAGATATGCCTCAAGGGAAAGAATTCTGTTACCTGAATGGTCTGGCTGCATAGAAACAGCGACCTCTAAGATTCCTATCATCCTTCATGTGCTTTAGTATTTAAGTATTTAGTATTTAAGTATTATGGAATACTTACTTTAAAAGTTCACTAAGAAGTTTAATATGAATGAATTCTAAGCACGAATACCCACATTTTCCATAGGTACAGAAAATCTTTCAAAGGTATTTTATAAAGCATATTTATTTATAGTGAAACAATCACATACTTAATTTGGAAGAAAAGTGTGAATGTGTACACGGATTGAATTTAGGGCTTCTACAAGCAAGGCAAACCTCTACCACTGAGTTATATCCTGAGCTCCAGTAAGGGTATTTGATTAAAAAATCCATGAATATCTTTCCTGTACATATCTATTACTACCTCTTATGCAGGAATACTGAAAATAATATCAATTATGCTTTTCTGAAAGAATGAAATAGCTGATGAGCTGATTAAGCACACTTCTGTACAGATTCTCTATTTGGACTACAAGGCCTTTTAAATGATCAGATTATAAATCCTATAGAAGAAAGCTATTTGTAAGAAATTGAAGTCTAGGACATGGCTTAGGAAAGCAAGATATAGGCTGGGATAAAGATACAGGGTTTGGGGCTGGAGAGATGGCTCAGTGGTTAAGAGCCTTGCCAACTCTTTCAGAGGTCCTGAGTTCAATTCCTGGCAACCACATGGTGGCTCACAATCATCTATAATGGGATGTGATGACCTCTTCTGGCATGCAGGTGTACATGCAGATAGAGCACCATATACATAAAATAAATAAATCTTAAAAAATTTCATATATATGTGTATATATACATATACATACAGGGTTCTACAAGACTAAAATATTTACATTAAGTTTTCATTTGAAAATTGAAATAATCTATCATCTAGGCAACTGGAGCATCATGTAAGAAAGTATAACAAGTATGCTGAAAAATGAAGAATATTGAGAAATAATGAGAAAATTAGATTAAAGAAAGAAGGTAGATTTCCATCAGTAAGTAACAAGGGGCATACAGCAATTAAAGAAGTCTCAATTTCCTTGTATGTGAGATTGCTCAAGTATACACATGTAAATTAACCTACAGAATTGTTGAAAGGGTTATCTGTATTTAAATGTGAAGCCTATTAAACAATATGCAAATGTAATTTTTATAGCCAGATAAGGAAATACCTGCTGGAAAATGAACTATTCAATTGTAAAGAAAAACAAAACTTCTTTCCTTTCCCACCATGTTGCACCCACGAACAGATACCTTAAAGTCAATTCCTCCTACGAAGATGCGGTTAGGGATCACAGTTCCGTATCTTGGGGCACTTGTTGGGTTATTCAAAGGCACAGGTGACACAGGATTAGGGGATGGAGATAAAGAATCTGTTTGCGTCTGATTTGTTGTTTGCTGTAAAATAAAGTCATTTTAAACTTTTAGCACTGGATATGAGTTTTAATGCAGGGCCATCAAAACAGTCATCTAGGCAAAATGCCATCTACTAGACTTTTATTCCAAGATTATGAAAACTATAATTAGTTTTGGGGGGAAATAAAAATGAAACAAAGTACTTCATGCTAGAGAAGTGCTTATATTAGATGTACTACTCAAATATACTTAATAATTATGAGGTATGCTGTTTGTTAAGAAAGAACAATAATTAAGCTGGGCAGTGGTGGCGCACACCTTTAATTTCAGCTCTTGGAAGGCAGAGGCAGGGGGATCTCTGTGAGTTCAAGGCTAGCCTGGTCTACGGAGTGAGTTCCAGGACAGCCAGGGTTATACAAAGAGAAAACCTGTCTCAAAAACAAACAAATAAACAAAAAACAACCAACCAATCAGGAAACAAACAAGCAACCCCCTTCAAAAGCATTCATTTCATAGAAAAGTCGGAGAGGGAGAAAAGAAGACCCAGATGGCTGGGAGATGCTCTGTTCGAGCCATTCTGTCCAGGTGTGCAAAGCCTGGCACTCAGTTAGGTAGTGGTGTTCTTTCATTAAAGAACATTAACATCAGACAACTATAATTACGATAGATCAAGATAAAAAGAAGCATTCTTTAATCATGCCTGAATACTGATAAAAACAAAAACACTGTCCAAACCATGACAATTACCAAATACTGCTTTATCCTAGATAATCTGAGCAACTGCTTCTCCTTCATCAATCTTATTTTTAAAATAATAATTAACACAATCATAGAAATATTCCCATTTCCTCACAACGTGCATTCCAGGTAAAGCCTTTCTACATGAAATCCTTTTTAAAAGCCTATATTGCATAAATCAAATTATTAACGCCTGAGAGGACCCATGGTGTACTTTCTTCCTAGTTCCAGTGAATTCACAGACACAACTCAATTACAGATGTGCTCTTGGTAGTCTTTGGCTAAAGAACACTGACAGGTTAATAAACTTGGATAGTGTTAGCCTGAAAGTCAAAATTGTAAATGCATTATCTATTTGAAAATTAGAGTTATCTTTAAAAAATACACACCTAGCTGGGTGCAGTGGTGCACACCTCCAACCCTGCCCTCAGGAGGCAGAAGCAGGCGGGTTCCTGGGACTTCAAGGCCAGCCTGGTCTGCACAGTTCTAGGCCAGCCAGGGTTGATCAGTGAAAAATTTACAAACCTGAACATTATGAAACACATTAAATACCTAAAAACTTAACTATACATTTTCATGACAAAGAATTGAGCTCAGGACATATCCATTATGTTCATACTTCTAAATTGGAAGGCTTAAAGTATCAATTTCAATGTAGAAGACTTTGCATAATGGCAACCAAAAAGACTTGCAATGTAAAATGAAAAGAAAAATGAAGAAACACACACACACACACAAAACTAATATTACTCTTTCTGGGAAGACTAAACAAACATTTGAGACAGTCTAGCATACTAAGTCCTTCAAAAATACTAAATACTAAAATTCATCATTTGCTGAGAACCATCACAATGAAGTTTTAGACAGTAGGGTTGTTCTTTTCTATTATTTGTCCTTTTCCATTTTGTTGGACAACAAAACCACTATTTTAAATGTTCATGTGATTAAAATAAAAAAGGCAAATTCCCTGTCCTCATGAAGAGTATATCTTAGTACAAAGTAACAGATAAATATATGGTATTTTAGAGAATGGAAGGAAACAGATGAATAGTAATATGTAATACTATTTCAACAAAGGAAATCTAATTGTAAACAGTACCAACGATATTCTAGAAAATACTGTACCAGAGAAAATTTTCTAGCTCCAACAGATAAAGCCTTGTTCCTTTGCCCATTTATTTATAATATAGAACTTGTTAATTAAAAAAAAAAGTCTTCAGAAAATTCTCTAAAAACAAAGGACTTCAATGGAAGTTCTAGTTTGTCTTCAAGTTTAAGTAAGAAGACAAACTCCATAATTTTTCCCGTGAGAGGTGGATGACAACCGTCCCAAACGAAGAGACTTCAGGTCACTCAACGAGAAAAAGAAAAAGTATTAAAAAAACCAAACCAAACCAAACCAATGACCAACCCATTCACTTCATTCCCTTGTTCTAAAGGCTCCTACTCTGTTGTGGAGGTGATCTGCTTACTTTTCTTTTACTGTTTGTCACCTTCTACTATAACATCTATTTACCTGTCACTCTGCACCACGATACAATATCCACGAGGGCAGGAAGTCTGCCTAATCTACATATTTAAAACACTACACCGTGTAAACCAGTCACACCACACAGCAAGTGTTCATTGTACGAACAAACAGATCACTGCTTCGGGAGAAACCCGCTTCGCCTGGGCTGAACACCTATCTGGATAAGGACCGAAGCACCAGTCATATTCTAGAACACCTCTGACTGTTCGCAGCCACACGGCTCGGGGAGGTGTGCCATGGACGTTCCCTCGAGATCAGCCGCGGCTCGAACCGGGGGCACCTCCAATCGCCCACCGTTTCACAGCACGGGGGTTCGGGGCTGCTCCCGGGTTGCTAGTGTGGGTCCCTCGGCTTCGTGGTCAAGCCTGACCCCTCGAGCGTTTATTAAGACGCTCTCCCAAAGCCCTGGGGGCCTCCCCGCCTCCTCCTCTGGGGCTTAGCCTAGAACTGGACCATTGTTGTTGTTATTATTATTATTATTATTATTATTATTATTATTATTTTTGCAGAGACCGAAGGGAAGAGGTGGGGGCTAACCGTCGCAGTCACCGCCTCGGTGCTCCTTCCCCGGGGCGGCCAGCAGGTCGAGGCGATGGGGGGCATGGCCGCACCGACCACGTCCTCGGCTTCTCTCGGGTCATCGTGAAGCGAGGCGCCGACGCGAGGGTCCCCCCCCTCCCCACCAAAGTGCGGGAGGGAAAAGAAGGCGAGCCAGCGAGAAATTTTGCCAGGCAAACCCGCCAGCAGCGGTGGCGGGAACCCTCAACGGCACCTACCACGCGCCCGGGGCCCGCCTGGTGCGCAGCCTCGTGCGCAGCAGGCCCGAGGGGGCGGGGCCTCCCTGGGTGGCGCCCGCTGATTGGCTCTCGGCCGGCACGGGGAGGCGGGGCGAAGGGGGCGGGGCGGCACGTTACCAGGCTCCGCGGGGGGCAGCCGGTGCCAGCGCCCCGCTGATTGGCTGCCGGCCGGCACGGGGGCGGGGCGGCACGTTACCAGGCTACTGCTGGGGCCCCTTAGGCCCCAGCCCTGGCTCCGGCTCCGGGCCCGGGGCGTGGGGGGCCCAAGCTTGAGCCGGGGGGCGCGCGTAGAGATCACCCCCGGCTTTCCCGAGCTCCCCGGGGCGGAGCTCGACGGCCACACGCCGCGGGCTACGAGAATGTGTCCCCGACAGGGCGGCCGGGCGGGCGAGCGTCGAGGGCGCCGCAGTTTTGGGCGGGAAGGCGTTGCAGGGCTGCCCGCTCGCTCGTTGGGCACGGCGGGCTGAGCCTTCCTCGCGGGGTCCCCGGCCGTTTCCCGTCCCCCCGCCGCCCCCGTGCTGCCCGCCCGCCCCCCGGGGGTCGGGACCCCAGGCCAGCCCCGCTCACACAACCCCGACGGGCCGCCCCGCCGTCCTCCCCAACCGAACAGAAGCGGCGGCTCCAAAGCACAGCCTTCCAAGCCCCGCAGGCACCCGCGCCGCCGGCCCGCCGCGCAGGGCCCGGGGGACCCCAAGCACTCACCGCCCGGGATTCGGTCTCCATCGTCCCCCGCGTCCACTCTTGAGAGAGGCAGGAGGCGCGGGCAAGTTCAAGTTGGAAGGCGCGTTCCGTGGCAGCGGCGGAGCCGGCGGCGGCGCGTCTCCCGTCGGGGACTCGCTTCCCCCTGGCGGCGACGGTGGCTGCAGCGGCGCAGTCGTCTCCGAGCCCGGCGAGCTTGGCCTGGGGGGGGGCGGGGGCGGGCGAGCGGCGTGGGGGTGGGGGGCGAGGCGGGCTGTGCGGGGGGCGGAGGAGGCGCTGTGCGCAGGTCCCCCTCCCCTCCCCACGGAGAGCCGGGATGGACGACGGCGCGCACTGTCCAGGACGGGCGTGGGGATGCGCTCGCGTCTCCCCGAAGCCGAGGAAGCCGCACGCACGCAGCTCTGGACGAGCCCACCTCGACCCTGTGCTCCAGCGCCGCCCACGGGGACTTCGGAAGGCTGGTTCGAGGACAGGAAGACAGTTTCCACGTGCAAGCCCGGCTCCCCCCTCCCGGCGGCGCGGCGCTCGCAAAAACCTTGGACGCAGCACCTGCCGTCCTCGACGTTGCTGTCACTCACCCCTGCCAGGGAGGGCGGGGCAGCGCCGTCCAGGCCACTGGTAGGGTAGCTGTGCTGCGCTCCTGAGAACCGGAGGGGCCTAGGAGCCGGGCCAATACGTTTAATCCCAGCACTTGGGAGGCAGAGACAGGGGGATCTCTGCGAGTTCAGGGCCAGCCTGGTGTAGATGGCGAGTTCCAAGATAGTTAAGGGCTACACAGTGAGATCTTGCCTGACACCCAATCCCTCCCACCCTTAAAAAAAAAAAAGAGAAAAAGAAAAAGAAAAAAAAAGAGAGAGAAAAGGAGGAAGCTTGAGGGAATCAACTTCATTAAACTCGGCCCCATAGCTTTGCGATCTCCTCTGAAGGGCTGCTTTGCAAGGATCATCTCTAAAAGTTTGCCGAGTGCCCATCTCTTAAGTGGTGTGTAATTCCAGTTAGACAAACTCACATAATGAGGATTGCCTTTATGAAAAGCGACCATCCGTCACGGACCCATTTTTTTCCGGCGCATTGCTTTATGGTCACTTCTCACACCAGTCCTCCGGGAGATTCACCTGGTGTCAAGGTCGAAAGCTATAGCAAATTTAACCCTAGGCATCTGCACCCCAAGTTCTCCATCTCACCGGACTGGCGGTGTTTTTAAGCCATCAGCATCAGCCAGTGTTAGAAGTTACATCTGTGATAACCTGTGTACTCTGAACTGTAAAATTTGTCCTCAAAATAAGCAGCAACGATATTAATGGTAATATATCCAAAGATTAGTTATCAAAAAATTATCAAAAAAAGCTTAGTTATTCATCACAGAGAAACAACTTTTGTTAATTTTAGATGAAGCGTCCTAAAAGTTGTCATACATTTCTGGACACAAAACTTATTTTCTCAGGTTTTAGTTTCTGTGGAAAAGGAAAATAGAAATGTATTTAGATTTTAAATGCATGTTCTAGAATTGACCTTTGGAAATTCTCCCACCCCCAGTAGTATTGAGGGATCTGAGTAGATAATACTTCTTTTCTGCCCAAGTCTTTCTCTTTCCTACCTAGTAAAAGTAGTTAACTTTTGAAGGTTGCATCTTCTGAAAAGAGGCACTTGTCACAGGAGGTATTTGGTCCGGCATAATGATCAAAATTGAGAGGGAGCGGTGGCTGTGTCCCACGGACTGTATTAGTGTTAGGAACAGTGCCACACTTCTCTGTTTAGTTTCTCTTTACTTTTTAATCCAAAAACAACTTTAAAAAACTGGGCTAAATCACACAAAATTATATGATCCAATTTAGTAGACAAATGTAGAGTTTTTATACTTAGCACCTAATGGGATGTGCTACTAGAAGGTAAAGTTCAAACATTAATCCTCAAAGCATTCTGAAGGTAGAAGAGGCCAGATAGGGTGGTTTGTGTCTGTATTTCCAGTTACCTGTGAGGCTGAGGCAGGGGGATCTCTTGAGCTCACAGTTTGAGACCTGTCTGGGTAATATAAGACAGCATTTCAATAAATATGTTAGAAGGGGAGAAAAGACCAATTTGTACAAATAGTAATTTTATCTAAATATGTTTACAATAAATAAGATACAAGTGAAATAAGATAAAAGATCCGTGAACTACAATCAAACGCCGTGGGAATGTAGATAACATCATGGCATACAGTGGCAGGGCCAAGAAGGGTCATATTTAAGACCGGAATGCTGTTCTGGGGGGAAATCGAGGAAAAGTTCTCAGTATGGTCTTATAAAATTTTTTTTTGTTTGTTTTTTGTTTTTGTTTTTGTTTTTGATCAGACAGGGTTTCATATTGTGGCCCATCTGGCCTAGAACTATATAGCCTAGGCTGGCCTGTAACTCATGGTAATTCTCCTGCTTCAGTCCTTGATTGCTGCAATTACAGGAGTGTGCCCACCATACCCAGGGTTCTGTTAAAAATCTCATTAAAAAATTTAAAAGTAATTACATTCTCTCTCTCTGTCTCTCTCTGTCTCTCTCTGTCTCTCTCTCTCTGTCTCTCTCTGTCTCTCTCTCTCTCTCCCTCCCTCCCCTGTGTGTTTACAGGGAGGCCAGAGGACAGCTTGTGGAAGTTGGTTCTCTCTCTCTGCTGTGTGGGCCCAGGATCAATCTCAGGTTGTCTGGCCTGGTGACAATGCCATTCCCCTCTGAAGCATCTTGTCAGCCATCGATTTGCCCTTCTTTGTCTTCCTGTCTCTTTCCCGCTGAAACTTGAGTCTTAGGCGAAAGTGACTCTTGTCACATTGTCAGTGAGGGTTGGGTGCACTTTTCAAGACTTAATTCTCTTTGGCTCCTTTGCACCGTACATTCTTCTCTGTTGTTTATATATTAGAAATAAGGAGTTACAATTTCATTCTGGGGACCTTCGCAAATTAGAGCTATTGAAGATAACCAAGTTTATCTAATCAGTGGCAAACTTACAAAGGTAATCTGTTAGGATTTGGATCTTGACTGTCCACCGAAGCTCGTGTGTCGCAGGTTGGTTCCCAGCTGGCAGAGCACAGGAGGTGAAGGGAAATTTAGGCGGAGGGTCCTCAGGGAAGGAAGTCAGGTGGTTAGGGATGTGCCCATAAGTGGATGTCGGGAGCCTGCCCTCTTCTCAGTGGTTTCCTGCGACTACGAGGTGAAGAGCTTACCTCCAGACATGTTCTCCATCCTGTGTCTTGCCTGTGATTGGCCCACAATGATGGGGCCAAGAGATCAAGGACTGAGATATCTGAAGCAGAGTCAAATTGATCATTCTTTGTAGTTTAGGTATTTTGTCACAGCAAGGAAAAGCTAACATCCTCAGCCCAGAAGAGACTCAGAGAGTTAGTGGCTGGAAACACATTGTTGAATTAGGAGAAGAAAACAGCTCAAGTGAAAACTGTACTTGTTACCTCAACACACACGACAAGTTTTAGATATTAGAGATGGCATTGACAAAGTTAAACTATGCAATAAGTACCACTGTATATCGGGACTGGGCAGATGGCTCATTTGGTGGAGGGCTTGCCTTTCTAGCATGAAAATCTCAGCATGCATCCCCAGCACTCACATTAAACCCAGGACATGCGGTAATCTCAGTATAGAGACACAGAGACATAAGAATCCCTGGGTTAGGCTGGAGAGATGGCTCAGAGGTTAAGAGCACTGATTGCTCTTCCAAAGGTCCTGAGTTCAATTCCCAGCAACCACATGGTGGCTCACAACCATCTGTAATGAGAGCTGGTGCCCTCTTTTGGCCTGCAGCCATATATGCAGGCAGAACACTGTATACATAATAAATAAATCTTAAAAAAAAACAAAAAAGAATCCCTGGGGCCTGCTGGCCAGGTTAGCTGGAGCTACAAACTTCAGGCTTCATGAGAGGCTGTCTCAGACAGTAAGGTAAAGAACAATTGGGCAAAACACCCCGATTTGGATTCTGGCCTTCATGTTCCACAGGTGTATGCACATACATGTATGCACAAATAAGCATGTATACACACCAAATATAATACATTGCAATTTACAAACCTTAGTATCTCACTTGTTTCAGTTTCTCCTAGGATCCAAATGCTTTTCATTTTTTCCCATCAGTCTGTTCAGACCATAGTTCGTGTGTCTTAGTCTGTTTTTTGTTGCTAACAAATAACACAGGTAATTTAGTGAAATAATGAAAGTGTTCTATTTTGAGTTACGGTTTTGGAGGTCCGAGGTCAAATGCTGCATCTGGTTATGGCAATCTTACAGGGAGAGAATCCTGAGGTGGTACAGTGTGGGAGCCCGTTCTCGGGTTCCTCGTGGCTTTACCC